ACCCCCCCCAACCCCCCCGGGAGGGGATTTCTTGCTTTCTGTCTTTTTGGCGAGTGCATGCGCCCTATAACAAAAACCTCTCCAAAAAAAACCCCCAAAAATTAGGATACATAGTAATTTTTTTCATGAATAGGATTTTCTCTCTCATTATATTCTTTATAACATTCCTGGGTGCTATTACTGATAGAAGTTTTAGTGTTTTGTTTTGTTTTGTTTTGTTTTGTTTTTTGCTTTTCTCTGCTCCCTGGAGAGAGACAGGGAAAGGTAGAAATCATCTCCCCGGGGAATGCCCTGTTGCTGTTCCTTCTCTTCCATTCTCTTCCTCGGATTTTGTATATACAGGCATATGTCCCCAGTGTGATTTTCAAGCTACTAGGTCCAGGACGTGGACCGTGGTCAGCCATGTGGGAGTCCAGTGCTCTTACCACGCCACCTGCTGGTTCTTTTTTTTTTCCCCACTATTGGCTATCGCGAATATGCAATTGTCAGAGAGAGATGGAGAAAGTGAGAAAGCACCTCATAAAAGAGTGGGTCAAGGGGTATGGTGTTTAAGGTGCTGGACTCACTCATGACTGAGCATGGTTCGAGTCCTGAACCCAGTAGGTTTCTTTCTTTTTTTGCTATAGGGTGCGTGCACTTGAGAGAGAGAGACAGAAAGCGAGAAATCACCCCCCTGGGGGTTGGCCACGCCGCAATCCCTTCTCCTTCATTCTCCTCTCGGGATCTTGGGCTTACACACACATGCTCCAGGTGTGAGTTTAAGCCACTGGGTCCGGGACTGGAACTGTGGTCAACTACATGGGAGTCCAGCAACATAGCTGTTATGCTAACTGCTGGTACCATCCTGTTAAACTTGCTTTTTTTTTTTTTTTTTTTTTTTTAACTTTTTTTCTTTTCATTCTTTTTTTTTTTTTAATTTGACCAGAGAGAGACACACACAGAGAGAGAGAGGAGGTGATAAAGCAAGCCACCAGGTCCAGGACCTGAACCAGGGTTAGCCATGTGGGAGTGTCCAGTGCCCTAACTACCACACCACCTGCTGGTTCCTGCTGTTAATGGCTTTTTCACCTTACTTTGTCTTTGTCTGTCTCTCTCTGGTCAAATGAAATAATTAATTAATCAATCAAACAAACATTGAATGAAATAATAAATAAATAAATCTTCAATAAAAAACAAGAAGCAGGGCCAGCAGGTAGCATGGTGGCTAGGGATGCTGGGCTCTGACATGGATGACTGTGGTTCAAGTCATGGACCTGGAGATTTGCTTTCTCTTTTCTTCTCTCTCTCTCTGTCTCTCTGTGGTTAAATTTTAAAAAATAATAAGTCAAATAAAATGTTTTAGCAAAAAATTGGGGCATGGTGGCACCAGCCCTATGGCAAAATTATTTTATTTAACTTCACTTATTTATTTACTTATGTGACCAGAGGGGCACAGAGCAGGGCAGGGAAGGGAGTGAGAAAGAAAGTCGCCAGGTCCGGGACTTGAACTGAAGTTAGCCATGTGGGAGTCCAGTGTCCTTAACTACCATGCCACCTGCCGGCCCAAAATTAAACAATTCTCTTTTTTTAAATAATTTTTTATTCAATTTTATTTATTCATTTTATTTTAATTTGACTAGAGAGAAAGAAGGAAAGCGAGAAAGCAAACCACCAGGTTCAGGACTCGAACCGTGGTTGGCCATGTGGGAGTATCCACTCCACCTGCTGGTCCTGAAAATAAAATGCCATAGACTGCTCCAGATTTCTGGTTTTTCATTTATTTTTTCAAAGGTATTATTTAATTTTATTTATTCGTTCACTTATTTTAATTTGACGAGAGAGAGAAAGTGAGAAAGCAAGCCACCAGGTCCAGGACTCGAACCGTAGTAAGCCATGAGGGAATATTCAGCACCTTAACCACCACACTAACTGCTGTTCCCCAATTTTTGGTTTTTCTATTTCATTATTTATGACAAAGATTGCTGGTTTTTGAATAAATTAGAAGTAATCTTTGAAGGCAGTAGTCACAGTAAATTTTTTATTTTAGATAATGGAATAAATAATCATAAGTAAATTCCAGTACTCTTGGACACTTGAGTTTTATTTTAAAAATAGAACTGTCAAAATGTGATATAGTGAATTACTTATGTTAATTTCCCTGCAGGCAGAAGAAGAGTTCAACATTGAGAAAGGCCGTCTTGTGCAAACTCAAAGATTAAAGATCATGGAATACTATGAGAAGAAAGAAAAGCAGATTGAGCAGCAGAAGAAAATGTAAGGCAGTCCTGTCACAGTGCTGTGCTAAGGATGTTTCTCTTTTTTTTTTTTTTTTTTGGGGGATTCTTTTTTGTTTT